AAAAAAAAAGCTTTAACCAATTACAATAGAACAAGCAGTTCTGGTGACGTAAGGGGCTATAATTTGTAAAGGTCGTGCACGAGATGAGCTTGGTCACCTGAAGGAATAATCCAGTTCTAGTATCTGGAAGCATGTGCTTTAAATGTAATGTGGCAGTGTAGTGAGGTTATCTATATCATTAGCTTTCGTTCCTGTTGTACTATATGGGCTGCTAATGGACCCACCCGCTAGCTCGCACTCTGTGGTGCTATGAGTTTAATGGTCAAGGCGACTCACACCACTCGCGCAGATAAGAACATCCCACGTACTCGCGCGACATCAACAACAATGGCAAACCGTAGTCTGTTTTGATAGGAGATTTCGGATTGGAGCTACATGATCTGAAACTCTATTAATCCTGTTTTGTTTTTTCTTGAATTGGTGGATTTTATTTTTAATACCCGCGTGTCCGTCCGTGCTTTTATTTTTTCGCTTTACATTTTTTCCGACAATGTGCGAGACGCTGTTGGCAAGCTCACACAGTCTGTGCATGTGTGTCCCTGCTGCTGCTTTTCTGCTGGGCTACAGCTACTAACCTAGCTGCTTTTCAGTCGGTGGTTAGCTAACTTTAGCCTGGCCGCGTTTATTGACTGGAGGGGGGAAAAGACAAACGAATGTAAAGCGTATTTGTATAGTCTGTTTTATGACAACAGCCCCCAATTATTTGCTGATCGTCACTGTCGGTACCGTAAGCGGTGTTGTATGATTTGTCGTAGAAAATACTTTGCTGGCTAGCTAATAGGCTAGCTATTTGTGTGTATTCTTCGACGGAGGAAAACGGCGAGTTTCCTTTGAAAGTATGGATGACCAGACCAGGATGATGACGGGTCTCACCGGACTAGGTGGACTAGCACAAGCCGATGTTGGTGACCCAGACTCGGTCAGAAAACAACAGTCCCTCGGTCAGCCTCAACAAGACATAGGGGATATCCTACAGCAAATAATGGCCATCACTGACGAAAGCCTGGACGAAGCACAGGCCAGGTAAGACAACCGAAGAGCCATTTTCCACACATGATAGCTAAGCTAAAGTGAGTTGTATGTCTTCGTTTTTAGGTACATTTGTTTGTGTGAAACATTCACGTAAGGTAATGCGTAATTGCAACATTAATGCAACTTCACGTTACAGTGTATTTTGCAGTTAAAGCAGTAACGTTAAAGTACATTTAGAATATCTCTCGAATAGTCTCATTACAGTGTTGTAGTTTGTTAGAAGCTCTTTGTTACTTCAGATTGGCTTTTTTGTTTTGTTTTTTCAAACTGTAGTTTGTATACATGCCCATATGGTTAAAATAACGTTAGGGGGCTATCGTTAATCTTAACTGGGTAATCAATGAAGTATCAGATTTAAGAACTACCCCATTTCTGGGTCAGTCGTTGCCGTTTAAAACGCACACATAGACACTTTGGTGCAGCCTTACCTGTACTTTCGTTGTATGGAAAAATTGTTTTAAAATAACTTGAAATATACTTTGTAATAACTTTATATGTTTATATCTAAAAACCCTCTGCCCACTGCATCTTAGGAAAATTTATGAATCGATGGCGCAGAATTATCAAAAGTAAAAATGCTTTTTAAGATGGTGGATTTTTTGCAAGTTGCCATAGTTAAGTGTAATTATGTCTTCTGGTTATGATGCCAAATCTTTTGTGCATTTTAAACATTACTATTCTAAATTAGATTAGAATAATTATCAGTATGTATCTGAAATGTTGTTTACATCAAATTAGTGTCAGTAAAATTGGGTATTGAAGTGCAAATGAGTGGATAAATTAAGGTAAAGGATTAGTCAATTTTACAGACTAGCCAAGTGCCGTCTGTGACAGCAATTACTCATTGAAATGATGCATCAAATGATGTTTGTGTTAGAGGTATCTTTTTAAGCATGATTCCTATAGAAATGGTGCGTTGCACTGAGTGACTGACCCACACTCATTTGCCATGTGGCTTGAGGAGCACAAGGTCAGTTTCAAAAGAAGCGTCAGTATTTCAACAATAGGCAATCGTCCACTGCAACACTGTGGCCACAGTGTGATGTGTCATTAGCTAGTGATTTTCCACCCAACATTTGACCACCTGGTTCTCTTAATTAATTCACTCCTCTTTCACTCCCTCCCTCCCTGGTGTTCATCCTTTTCATTGTGTGCTGGGTGCAATCAATTCTCCTATAATGTGTACGCGAGTGCAGCTGTCCGCAAATCGAGTTTCTATTAATGAGATGGTGGTGAGGGGGAGGGATGATGCTGTACTGGCAGCCTATGATCATTGGGATATTACCTTTCTTCACTAAAAGTTTGAAGACTTAATTGGGCTTCACTTCATTAATTCAAACATTTTTACATTCGTTTTTCCTTTTTAAGGTTTTATTTTTTTTCCCTTCCTACTTTGTTTCTTCAACTTAGAATTTTTGTTGAAATTTTAAAAAGGTTGAGTCGTTTTCTGTAAGATAATGTCTAAAATGAGTATTTGTATTTAAAAAGCCAAATATAGTTTTGGAAATCATGTAACACAATTATTTTGAGGTGTTAACAGGGTTTTCTGAAAAATAAATTAAAGGTGTGGCTGCTTGCGGAAGTGCCAGAGGTGTCCCTGCCTGTGTGCTTGTATTGATCTAAACTCCTGCTAATAACAGTCTGGCGTTTCTGAGGATAAAACACCTTCAGAACCGTATGCTCAACATTAACTGACAGTCTTGCTTGCAGTTAGTCTGTATTTGTTTGGCTGTTTTCTATTTTACATCTCACGTAACAGCCTAAATCATAATCAGATTCAGGCTAACACAGACCATGTTGATACACATAGATTTGTTAATACAGAGCAGATGCCATGGCTGTTATCAACATAATTCTTAACTTTGAAAAAGTTTGCCGCCCACACATCTATCATTCCTTCAGTTATGATCCACTAATTACTGAGGGGGCTCGCATGTGATCATGACGTCCCTGTCATGCAGGGTGGCAGTGTGTTGGGATGGGGAGTGGCCAGGGCAGTGCAAGAACTCGGTGTTGCAGAGTACACTTCCTGCGCACCATCCACCCTCATCCTCTCACCCTGTCGCCATATGTTCAGATACTGGCCAGAGGAATCGCCGGCGCATTGGGGTGGATCAGACGACCCCACAGAGGGAGGGAGAGCAGGGGGGGGCATGGCAGGGGGTGGCCTGCCACTCAACTTCCAGCACAGGTCAGTACAGGACCGCATGAGCACCCCCTTCTCCCCCTCGTGCTCATACCCACCATGCTGAAGGCAGCCCTCCCCCCAACTCAAATCCAGCAGTGACTGAATTGGTGGATAAAATTACACATTTAGTGCTAGACACATACCTTACACATATAACAGGTTGCACAGTGGGTGCACTATTTTCTAGTCCCCTCATTAATACTGCAGTGAAGATTCACAACTGGAATTGGTGTTGAGGTCAGGTGTAGCCAAATCATATTCATATGTGGTTGTTTTGAATGTGTCATCAGTGATGTTGTATGGAAAGAAATGCTTTATTTCTTTATTATAAGGAGGATCATAATTCATTCTCATTATTAACAGACTTCATGTTGACTTTGCTGTTTATCACCTAAATTAACTGTATATTGCTCATGTAATTGCATATCAACATTGTTGCTATTTAAACCCACTTTTACTATAAATGGTAACTGTGGTGATTTGTGGAACTCCCCATTGAGCACATCCAAATGGATTTATTAATTTATAGGTCAAATCTTTAAAAATACACAGGGTGCACAAATTTACAGCCATTATTCCAAGATAATTAAATATTGCAAGAGCACTGAGGGGGGCATTAAGAACACCTCCATGACCATCTCAACTTGATTAACAGGGCACAGTAGTCTATTGCATGCTTACTGTAATTAACATGTTTTTGTTAATTACAGATGCGTGGGGAAAAGAATACAAACTTTTGAACTATAGCTCCATATTCGCTCAGCAACTAACAGACTCACTCTTTCTGTACACTGCCAGTAAAAGAGTTTAGATATGAAACAATGGTGTAAAGTCATTTAGGGTCGTAGTAGGATCAGGGCTTTTCTCCATCCTTGCAGTTTTTAATGAGCTGTATGGGTGTGTGTGTGGGTGCATGGATGTTTTTTGGCAGGAAATTCTGTTGCTGAGGTGTTTTGATTATTTGATTACATTGAAGTGTAGAAGTTTTGCCTTATCTCATTTAATTGCCGTTAGCCTGTCTGGCAATAAAGAGAATGCCTCTGATTAAATTAAAATTGCATTTTAATCCTAGTCATCTCTATCAACTCACTGTCTACTATCATGGAACAAGTATTTCTCTAAGAGGAAGAAATTAGATTAGTGTGTATTAACTCTGAAATCTGGTGCTCAGTAATGATGACCTTGAGGTTTGGCATCATTACCTGCCCCATAGTGCAAAGCATTCAAATGACAACATTACTCTTGCTAGTTCGGATTGATGCATCAGGAATGTTTTTTGCACCGACAAATGCATTTGGCTACTGAAAATGCCTTTAAAACAATATGACTCTGTCCCGCTGAGTTGCATGGCATTCTTGAAATGCTCTATTCATAATACATACAGCTCCTCTACCTGTTTTATAGAGGAGGACATGGAATGACTTGAGATGGAGGTCTGTTTATTGTAATCCTCCTCGCTCTCTCCCCCTCTTATTCCCTCTTCTCTTTTACAGGAAGCATGCCCTGAACTGTCACAGAATGAAGCCAGCCCTCTTCAGTGTTCTCTGTGAGATCAAAGAGAAGACGGGTAAGTTTGTACTTCACTCCTTACTGTGTTCTCCACTCTGCACAAATTGTAGCAGTGTTGAGATGTAGTGCATCTTTTCCAGATTCCCCAGCACCAAGTTATTGTTATAATGGTGCCATACACAACTGTATTGATAGTATTTATTGTCAGGTATTAAACACACATTGTGTGTGTGTTATGTGTGCTTTAGTGTTGTATGTTCCGGCCTTGTATTTACAGTTTCTTCAACCTATTTTTGGCTACCGTCCAGACTTTGCTCTGACCAGCTGAAACTATTCTTAGTGGATTAGTGCCTTTGAAACTTGAGTCCTGCAGAACCTTTTGCAGAACATGCTAACAACTGTTATCTTACTTATTGGACTGTAACTTGGTTACCACGTTTCATCTGTGGCAACACAGTCACAGTTTTACATTTTGGTAAGTTCCCAGATGATAAACATTTGGGACAAAAAATGGTCTCAGTTGATTTGATGTCAACAATGTTTGTTATATTAAGGCATGGAAAACACCTACAAGTACTACTAGTACAAACCACTATATTGCGTTTAAATCATCAAACCTGTTCCAGATAGAAAGCTTATGCACAGCTGTTCAGAAGCCGGCAGATATGAAAAACTTCACAGGGGTTATTGCTTTACAGTCAAATTGTTATGCCGTTTCAGTACAAAGATTTTCTTCTCTACACCACTATATAAAAACTGCTACACCACACAGTGTAGGGTAATTGTATATTTGGAATAAATTGCTATGCATATAAATGCAGTACTCTTACCTAAACACAACATTAAAAAGCTACTACTGTGACACCATCTTAACAAATAATGCTGACTTTAAAATACACATAATCTGATGCAAATTATTACCTACGTATATGTGTATTCAAAGTAAACACGCTGCTTATTCTCATCTTGTTAGCTATTCCAGTCAGCTATCTGACAGATTTTAGTGTCGTTCAAAGGAGGAGGCCAGGGATGGATGGCAGATTGATGGTTATGTTAGTTTGAATGGTGTGGGTTTTCGAATCTTCTCCCCCTGACTCTCTCTGTCAGTTTCTCTCCCTTCGTGTGTTCTGTATGCTTTTCTCTCTGTCTCTGTCTTTGTGTATCTTTTAACTGTAAGCCTCTGTTGTTCAAATACAATTTGAAAATGCTGCACTGCTGCCTGTTGTGGCCCTCTGTCAATAATGTATTATTGCTCTCCAGTGATTGGAGAAAAGTAAAGGCTAGGCTTGAGTGAGTGGGGCAGGGTACACTGTTTCCCAGGCAACCAGTGGTCTTATTTACCCTAATGCCATTCACTTTGATTTTCACATTTAGTCTCCCTGCAAACTACAGAGAGGGTCTATGAGTACTTGTACAGTAAACTGAGCAGAAAAACAGACCAAGGAATAAGGGTAGGTTAACAATAGATTAATGCTTGAGGTGAATATGGCACCAAAGAGATATAGAGATCTGTGGCTTTGCCTGTACTCTGCTGGCCATCTGCCACAAAGTGCCCTCCTAACTGCACTGTGTACCTGCTTTGGCATTTCACTGCTACTCAGACCCCCTGTAGGCCCCATTGTCTGCCTCTGGAATGTGAATTGACTTCTCTTCATTGCAGCTTGTGAAAGACTCAGTCAGTAGTCCTTTAGTATCTCCACTGATTTTTCTACAGTGTTTTCTTGCTAACAAACATAGACTTGAGCTGGCACACCCGCATACACACTCTGTCTCCCTTGCACATATACTCGCACACCAAAGAGGGATAAAAGCGAACTCAGTCTTGGGTCTACTCCTACTGCCTCGGTCTTGTCCTCTCCCCCTCCCGCTCTCTGCCTCGCTCCCATTCTTGAAAGAGAAGACTTGCTCTGAACTCGGGGCTTTGATATGGTAATGTAATGGTGGTGGTGGAGGAGGGGAGGTGGGGCATGGGGGATGGGAGGTGAATTCCTTTGAGTGCTGCAGTTGGTTAGATTGTTTTCATTGTAAAGGAAATGTTCTGCGCAAATGCCAGTATCCCCCACCCTCCCACCGCCACCACCCCAAAACACCCCTCATTTTCAACAGTGCATGCGTTGTCCTGAGCTCTCACATTAAACATGACCTCCGTTTGTGTGAAATTTGATTCTTGTTAATACTTTTTTAAAGATACACTTAAAAAAAAGATATTAAAGCACTTGGAAAGAGACTAGAAATTATCAAAGTTGAGAACCAGTGGCTTTGCTTCAACTCAGTTCTGTTCCCCCTTGCTCTCATGGGTATTTGCTGTAAAAATAGCTCTTGGTGCAATGGGACAGCTTATGCCAAAATCTCTCACAAGCTACTGCAGTTCACTCTCAGAAGTTTTTTTTTTTTTTTTTTTTAAATTCAGTTCGGGCATGTTTCAGGCATTTCTCCTCACTTTTATGCATTCCTTGTGCTTTACACATGACAACAGTGAATCTGTCACTCACTCTGTTTTGATAACCTTCTTAAGTCCCTGTTTTTCAAGCATGAACATTCACGTTGTTTATTTTTGGAAATGTTTTAAATGAAAACAAAAATAGAGTTTCAAGTGAAATTTGAGCTGTATAGTTTTTAGGCTTGGAGACAACACAGCGGTATAATGAGCCTCTCCCTCCTCCCACTCACTTGGACAAGTTCACACTCCAACACTTGCCACTCTTGTTGATAAGCTGTCTGATAAACAACTCTGTGGCATAGTGCCATCAGTTAGTTTGCCACCATTTATAAGAAGCTAACTACCATCCTACCTGGCTAAGACTGAAATTGCTGGCCCCTAATTGTTGGCCCTAATGGATGTGAATCATATGCAAGTATCTATTATCAAATCTTATGGGCCATCAATCCTTTCAGCAACAACAAAAAGGATTTAACATCAAGTTTATTAGCCAGTGTGATGCTAACCTGAGCCGGTTACTCTGGTACGTGCCCAGTTGTGCCAGTATTCAAACAATGCGTTATGGGAACCGGTTAATTGGTGTTTGGCTCTGCCACATTTCCAATCCATTTTCCTGCACATTTAAAAAAACAACAACTTTTTAGTCACTCCATTTTTAGAATAGAGTCTTAATTTTCAGGCATTTTATAACTCATGCCCATGTTTATAATTATTGTTGTTCTTTCCAGAGCTCTTAAGGTATTTAATAAACTGTTAAAGTTGTTCATGCCTTATCTTTTACCTATAACTTATGACACACCAGTGCAGTGTTTGTGCCTCAGTCAGTCATCGGGCGAGAGTCCTTTAATTCATTAATTAAATTATTACCTTCAGTTTATTTGCATTATTCAAGGTACTTCTTTGCATTACAATGTCATTTCACAATCCAAATGGACCCACTGACATATTAAGTGAATTATGACCTGTTTGTTGTTGTTGTAAAAACACTGAAACAACACAAGTAAATGTCGCACATAGTTGTTACACGTTTATTTGCCACCGGGCTAAACACCTTATAAACTTGAGAAATCTAACTTTAATTTTAAAAACTTTTTGTTTTGGACCTGGCCATGCATAAAATCTAACAACAGAATGTCACACAGTGGTGTAATCAAGTTGGTAATATTCCCATTATTGTAAAGGAAAATCCCTTTTAGAACCACATGAATGATTTATATGTTTGTATTCTACAGACTGAGTACAGTTCTTCAAAGTCTAGTGAATACCATGCCTCATTAAAGAGACTTAATTATTATTAGTTTTCAGAGAGCCCATTTTTGAACAGCCATAACATTTTATGTGTTGTTAGAAACCTGAGGGAAGCATTTCATTATTTTTTATGAGGAGAAGCATGCATCTTTTAAACTCAAAAGCATTAAGAAGATAAGAAATTGATTGTGACTAAAATGTAATGTAGGTGAAACTATCAAATTTACATTTTCAGTTCTATCATCTGTCCAATCTGAAAAGAGAATAGGTGAACTTCTTTCTCACTTGATCAAAAAAAATCAGTGATTTCTCTTTTAAAAAGTCTGTTTCATAGTTACCTTCACTATGCATTAGTACAGGACTATTAGATGGGCTTTTCAGAAATCTGCTTTGATTTGTGTTGTCCTGCCACTCAATTGTTTTGTTTTTTTCTTTGCCTGGCTCATTTGCAGAAAAGGATGAAAAAAGATAAGGGTGTGTGTTGAGGGGGTGCAGGAGCGATACAGGGAGATTGATGAGGCAGTAAGAGAAGGAGTAATTACTTGGTGTCCATTCCCCAAGCCAGATTGGCAGACGGCTAATATCACACAGACCCCTGGCCCTGACAGACACCCCCACCCCACACGCACATAGCCTAACTCTAACTGGGGAGTCAGAGCTCTCCAACCTTCAGCAGGGGCCTAATGGTGTGCGGGCCAATGGACTTCTCAGTGTATGTTTTCTTTTCTTTTTTCCCCCCTCTAAAGGCCCTTCTGACAGAGTTGTCACCAGTGGGAGTGGTTTCTCTTTGGTGGAAATGAGAATTTTCTCTAGTGGATGTACCCCTTTTTTCTGGGTTGAGTGTGCTTTGTTGTTTTGTTTTAATAACACAATTTACACATTATGGCCAGAACAGTGGGTTTATTGGAAAAGTTGAGACCATTGGACAACACAGATCAAGCATTTCGCCAAATGCTTTGCTGTTAAGACTACTATGTTTAGTTTGTTTTTGTTTGAAGCGAGATAACCGGTAGAACTGCTGCTGAAACGAAACACTTGTAATTACTTCAATATTGGTAACAGGCCATGCTAGTTCCCAGAATCAGTTTTATGCCAAACAAGGTAACCCATCAGTGTTTGTTGAGGATCATTAACAGGGAAGTCTCCTACCTCTCATCTGCCCTCCCTCTCAGCATGCCTGCGCCTTACTTTTCTTTTAGGGTTTGCTCTTAAAGGAAGCCGGCATCTCTTTAATTAAAGATATGTAAATGTGGTCTCAGCTGGATTGCACTAGTTTGGTGGTGGTGGGGTGGGAGAGTGTCAGAGCCCAGTTCCTAATCCTGACTAATTAACAATTAATTACAATTGATGGGTGCCTTCCACCCCTCTGC